TACTTCTCAATGTTGTCCATAGCTTGTCATGATCCACACAATCAAAAGCCTTTGCATAATCAATAAAGCATAAGTAAACATCTTTCTGATATGCTCTGCTTTCAGCCAAGATCCATCAGACATCAGCAATGATATCTCTCATTCCCCGGCCTCTTCTGAATCCAGCTTGAACCTCTGGAAGCTCTCTGTCACTTGCAAACCTGTCTCAGTGTTCCGCTATCATGTTCTTCCACCTCCTCCACCTTCTTGTATTGCCTTCCCCAACACCCGAACTAATCCCCCCACCTCAAACTCACCGTTGTGGTAACCTTATATTCCATTAACTATTCCCTCCATTTAAGACAGTCTATTTTATCCTGTAATTTACTTGACCTTCTTACCACCTGGATCTCTGTTCCTCTGTGTTTACCTTCTTTCACATTGTAATTGCTTTGATCATAGACTGACCTCCCAGATCCTCTGGTCTTATAATTTTATTCTGTTCTTGACTCTTCCATTTGTTGATTGAGTTTAGGGTGCTGCTGCTACATATGTCAATCTCTGGCTGTTGTCTCTTCTTGTTGGTTCTCAGTCCACAGAACTTCCTTTGGATGCTTTTCATTGCAGGGTTGGCTTTGGCAAAATCCCTTTGCTTCTGTTTATCTTGGAGTGTTTTGATTACACCATCATATTTGATTGACAGCTTTGCTGGGTAGAGGATTCTTGGGTGGCAGTTTTTTCTTTCAGGGTTTTCTATATGTCTCCCCATTGCCTTTTTGCCTGCATCGTTTCTGTTGAGAGATCTGAGCTTAATCTTATTTGCTTGCCTTTGTATGTTACACTTCACTTTTCCCTAGCTGCTTTCAGTATTCTGTACTTATTATTATTATTATTATTATTTTTGGATAGCTTGGTTGTTATGTATCTTGGTGATTTTCTTTTAGGGTCTATCCTTCCTGGGGTTCATTGAGCTTTTTGAATGTTTATCTTTTCACTTTTCAGGATGTTAGGGAAATTTTCTTCCAGCAGCTCATCAACTATCTCCTCTGTGGACTTGTGTTGCTTCCTGTTCTGGAATGCCAATAATTCTTAAGTTATTCCTCTTCATGTTGTCCAACATGAATCCTAGACCTTCTTTAGATATTTTAATCCTTTTTTCTGCTTGCTCTTCTATCTTAGTAGTGTTGAGAGATTTCTCTTCTAGCTCACTAGTACTGGCTTCTATCTCTTCAATTCTACTCCTTTGCTCTTTCAGTGTATTGTCCATTTCTGATATTCTATTATTAATCATTTG